GTGTGTGTGTGTGTGTGTGTGTGTGTGTGTGTGTGTGTGTGTGTGTGTGTGTGTGTGTGTGTGTGTGTGTGTGTGTGTGTGTGTGTGTGTGTGTGTGTGTGTGTGTGTGTGTGTGTGTGTGTGTGTGTGTGTGTGTGTGTGTGTGTGTGTGTGTGTGTGTGTGTGTGTGTGTGTGTGTGTGTGTGTGTGTGTGTGTGTGTGTGTGTGTGTGTGTGTGTGTGTGTGTGTGTGTGTGTGTGTGTGTGTGTGTGTGTGTGTGTGTGTGTGTGTGTGTGTGTGTGTGTGTGTGTGTGTGTGTGTGTGTGTGTGTGTGTGTGTGTGTGTGTGTGTGTGTGTGTGTGTGTGTGTGTGTGTGTGTGTGTGTGTGTGTGTGTGTGTGTGTGTGTGTGTGTGTGTGTGTGTGTGTGTGTGTGTGTGTGTGTGTGTGTGTGTGTGTGTGTGTGTGTGTGTGTGTGTGTGTGTGTGTGTGTGTGTGTGTGTGTGTGTGTGTGTGTGTGTGTGTGTGTGTGTGTGTGTGTGTGTGTGTGTGTGTGTGTGTGTGTGTGTGTGTGTGTGTGTGTGTGTGTGTGTGTGTGTGTGTGTGTGTGTGTGTGTGTGTGTGTGTGTGTGTGTGTGTGTGTGTGTGTGTGTGTGTGTGTGTGTGTGTGTGTGTGTGTGTGTGTGTGTGTGTGTGTGTGTGTGTGTGTGTGTGTGTGTGTGTGTGTGTGTGTGTGTGTGTGTGTGTGTGTGTGTGTGTGTGTGTGTGTGTGTGTGTGTGTGTGTGTGTGTGTGTGTGTGTGTGTGTGTGTGTGTGTGTGTGTGTGTGTGTGTGTGTGTGTGTGTGTGTGTGTGTGTGTGTGTGTGTGTGTGTGTGTGTGTGTGTGTGTGTGTGTGTGTGTGTGTGTGTGTGTGTGTGTGTGTGTGTGTGTGTGTGTGTGTGTGTGTGTGTGTGTGTGTGTGTGTGTGTGTGTGTGTGTGTGTGTGTGTGTGTGTGTGTGTGTGTGTGTGTGTGTGTGTGTGTGTGTGTGTGTGTGTGTGTGTGTGTGTGTGTGTGTGTGTGTGTGTGTGTGTGTGTGTGTGTGTGTGTGTGTGTGTGTGTGTGTGTGTGTGTGTGTGTGTGTGTGTGTGTGTGTGTGTGTGTGTGTGTGTGTGTGTGTGTGTGTGTGTGTGTGTGTGTGTGTGTGTGTGTGTGTGTGTGTGTGTGTGTGTGTGTGTGTGTGTGTGTGTGTGTGTGTGTGTGTGTGTGTGTGTGTGTGAAGGAAAAAAGGATGGCATTGGATAAACCATTTGCCACAGATAATTATAATGATAGAAAATTCAAATGGTTAATTTACATTCTCTAAGAAAGTCTATAAGGACATCGTTTATATTTTTGGAGTTGTGGCATAGTAAGTATATGATATTTATTGGGTATTGAATATTTAATTTGGTTAGGGTAGTAAATAAGTTTGTTCTAGCCTGGGCTGGAACTCTGTGTCATGTAGAATTCTACTTATCGCTTTCTACAATAGATTCTTTTGTGGCACTCTGTGTAACATAGCGGAAAACCAACGAGTATATACTTACTACAGGATAACTAGTTTCATAAGAAACCACATTACGATATTTCCCGTGCGGTTGATAACGTATTTATCACAAAAGAAAGTAATCGATTTCATTGTAGAAAGCGATAAGTAGAATTCTACATGACACAGAGTTCCAGCCCTGTATATATTTTGTACAACTAAAGATAATATTATTCAGATCGCCGAGAGACATATTATTACAGTCACATAACTTCAGCAATGCAGGTATTATTTAATCTCAGGCCACTATACATCTTCATACAAGGAGAAACCAGGTCAGCTATTCACAGGCTAATGCAGGGACAAAACCCAATAAGCCAACAACGTAGCTCCGACCACACAAAGCTATATCAGCAAGTAAAAAGGAATAATATTCTAGGTATGCCTACTGATAGAGCCATAACCACATACACATTTGAAATAAATTTTCAAATTAAAATACCAGCCCGAGAATCCTAGAAACCAAGAGAGGAGCCGGTGCTGGAATCTATGGACCTAAGTCGAAAACAACGAATTCGCTGAGTTTGGAAAAAATGCAACAGTGTTCCAGGCTGAACTAATAGCCATACAACACTGTACAAAAAAAAAAAACTAAATCAGCAAGTATCAGGCAAAACTATTGCCATATATTCTGTTAGCCAAGCTGCTTTAAAGGCAATTCTCTCACCAGAAATCAAATCACGACTGGTGAAAGACTGCCTAGAAGACCTGGCAGACCTAAATAGTCAAAACAAGGTGACCCTAGTCTGGGTGCCAGGCCATGAGGGATATCAGGGCAACGAAGAGGCCGACGAATTGGCCAGAGAAGGCCCAGATAAGGCCATGAGAGGCCTTGAACCCTTCTGTGGAGTTTCTAAGGCATTGTGCAAGTTATCCATCAAACAATGGATGCAAAAAGAGTCTCAAGAATAGTGGAGCAACTATCCAATACTGAGACAGGCCAAACAGTTCATCAAGGAACCATCGGCCAAGTTCACGAAAGACCTACTGGATCTAAAGCGTCAAATCGTTAGGATAACAGGTTTTCTTACTTGACACTGTCGCCTTAAAAGGTACATGAGTGTTATCAATCCAGCAGAAGAAGCAACTTTGTGCAGGTTCTGTGAAGAAAAAGAGGAAACATCATTCCACGTCCTGTGCCAATGTGAAGGCTTGACTGGAATGAGGTTTCTAACACTGGGCGAAAAAAAGTCAAACGCATGCAACTACATGAGGGAGCCACTGTCAAAGCTATACTAATAAAACAGACCAAGCTAGACGACATACTCTAAAACAAACGGAATCCCACGATAGATCTGAAAGTTTAGATGTGAAGGTTTAAAAAGTGCTTTAAAGTTTTTACTTACTGACTGAAATCATATATTTTATAGAAAATATCATGAACGAAATTAATGCATTTTAGCATACCACATGCTATTTTAAATGGATGCGGGGTTGCCAAATTAACGAAAATATTAATATTTTATTAAATTAAATTCTTAAAAATTTTGATGCTATGTGGCACATCGTTTAAAAAGTAATTTAAAGGGTAATATTATTATGTAAAAATCCACGATGGTCTTTACAAGAAATAAGAAAGTTTCGGCAGTAACTCGAAAACAAAACACAATTTTAAAAATCATTTCCACAAAAATAGTCTCCATTAATAAATGTCTTAATGTAATACTTTGAAATGGATCGCAGAATTTTGTTCGAATCTTTTTGTTCGAAGGAATCTTGTTCAAAAGTAAATTACCCCTAAAACATTTTGTTCAGAAGTAATTTTCTTCGATTTTTTTTATCTACATCATTTTGTTCGAATACCTAATTGTAAATACAAGGCGGACTTTTGATTGAAAATTTTTTCATGAAAAACATGATCTAAAACATATATCACGATCTAAAATGGTTGAATCTAAATGAATAATATAATAATGTAAATAAAAATTATTTTCCTTGTATTCTGATTAAAGTAATAAAAAACCTAACTAATTTACCTAACCTGCACGGCCTGGAGCCATTGCGGGTAGCTTCGCAATTTTTTTATATAAATTGACAAAAATTAAAAAAACTAATTTACCTAACCCGTGCGGCCTGGAACTATTAAACTTTTTTAAACCAACTTTGACAAAAATTAAATTTCACTTAAAAATAATATTCACCTTTTTTCAATTAGTTTTATTTCGATTAACATTTATCAGATCAAACGGAGCAATTTTTTAAGTACATTATATCAAAAGCCCTATTTTCCTACAAATGTGTCTTATAGAGTTAAAAAAATAGACATGTACCTTAAGCCTTGGTTTCTTTGAACACTCCGTCGCGGTGAGCGGACAGTTCGTAGACCGTTGAGGACAGCAATTCTCGCCCGAGGTGGTTTGTTAAAAAATATAGTAAATGATACTTTCTCTGTCTGTACGTGCTGATTATGTATTATGAATGTAAACGAAAGGTACTAAAATGGATGCAAATAAATTGATTGCGTTGTTGTTATTATTGTTGAAAGAGGAAGAACAAGAGGAACTGGCAATTGCAACCGTCAAAGTTTCCAATAAGCCAGTGGATGAGTTGTTTTTGTGTCGGGATACAGAAGGTGCCTTTAATATCACTGTGCAGCGAAGGTTTTTTGGAAATGAAACCAAATTTAGGGAGTATTTTAGACTTTCTACAGATCTTTTTGAATTCGTGTTGAGTTTTATAAAGGACATAATTTCCAAGAAACCTAAAAATAAAGTCATGATGTCATCTGTATGTGTGAATTTGTCACTCATTGTTTTAAAATTAATAACAATATAGTCTCCGCACACGCCAACGATTCCGCTAATATCAAACTCAACAGATATCAACCGACTCTTCGCGACAAATCAGCGGTATGACACCGTCCTGCTCAGCTAAGCGGATTCAAGAAAACCATTCCCATTTAAATACTCTGGTTGGATAAAATCGTCAAAACGCGACGGTTGACGGACTGTCCGCGCACCGCGACGAAGTGTTCAAAGAAACCAAGGCTTTAGTGTATATAAATAATAAAAATAAGCGAGCACTTTCGGCTTTCAAAGCCATGTTCGAAATTCACCACATTTGTCTAGGAAGGATTTTTTTTCAAATTAGATATTCGAACAAAATGTTGACAAACTAAATAACTTTCGAACAAAATGTTTTCGATCAAAAAGACTCAAACAAAATTCTGCGACCCACTTTGAAATATGTCAAATTAACTGTTTAGCCGCCATTAAAAAAATCTGTTTTTTTAATAGGTAAGTCAAAAACTACATAACAGTTAATAATTTTGAAACATTTTAAAACATTCCCCATTTAACCGAGCTTCTATCTCCTGTATTGAGCGAGATACCAATATAGAGACTCGAATTTGGGACACAGTATATACGATCTGGGCCGGATGAGCCCCCTTTCACGAATGGATATGACCGCCTCTATTTTGAGGACCCCTTTGAAGCTACTTTTACTTTTGAACATTCTATAATCTCCATATATATTACTAAATAATTTTGAAGTAGTGTATGCGTTATTGAGATATTTTAATTCTTAACGATTGCTCTCTTACGTTGCAAATAACTTCCTCGGTGGCAGGATTGACAGTTTGAGTCGTCTTTCCATTTTCAGCATCTACGAATTCTCCATTAATGAATAACTGGCAAGGAAATCTGATCTTCATATTATTAGCTTCCATTTCCACAGCTCTGTACTCAATCTGAGATTTCATGCTACCGCCCCTGCTTTTTTGTACGACGTTCAAATAAAATTCCGAAAATGTTGGAGCCATGAATACGTCTTCGTTTTCTAGTTCTGTTTTGAAAACGTCTTTAACTTCTTCCACGAGCCTGCAGGAAAGAGAAAAACAAAATTTTTATAAAATTTAAGTACAAGAAGATGATCCGCCAACACCAATTTTTGACCAGTGTTGTTCGGGTGTGAAATCCATAAATCACAGTTCATATTTAAAGACCACATTCTTGAATGTCGAATACCTCGATTCGCATGCGAGATTAGTGAAATGTCGAATAGCAACTAGGTGATTTTAAAAAAGTGTATTCTCGAAAACAGTATACTACAAATGTCAGGTGAATTCAACACGGGTGGTCTAAAGTGCTCGAATTTAAATTCGTATGCGACTTTTGTGGACCGTAAACATGGATGAGGCAGATTTGGGTCAACTTTCGTTTAGCCGAAATCAGTTACGTTGCCATGGCAACCGTTGCCATGGTAACCAGTAAACAAAAACCCAAATCTCTTGGTGAGGAAATGCATAGTTGCCAAGTTATAGATTATTTAATGTTCACTTTAGTTTAGACGAAATCAGTTATGGTAAAACTGTTGCCATGGGAACGCTTGACATAGTAACAACTAAACAAAAAGTCAAATCCCATAGTGAGGAAATGCGTGGTTGCCAAGTTACAGATGATTTAATTTAGCTGTAATCAGTTACGGAGAAACTCTTGCCATAGAGACACTTGTCATGGTAACGACTAAACAAAAACCCAAATCCTGTGGTAAGAAAATGCATAGTTGGCAAGTTACAGGTCATTTAATTTTCGCTTTAGTTTAGCTGAAATCGGTTATGGAGATGTCGTGATGTCGACTAAACAAAAACCTAAATCTAGTGGTGAGAAAATGCGTAGTTGCCCCTTATATTAAGATTAACTCTTAACACAATATCCTAATCTAAACTAAATTGAAAATGAAACCATCTATAACTTGGCAACTAGGAATTTTCTAACTACGGGATTTGTTTAGTCATTAGCATGACAAACGTTTCCATGGCAACAGTTTCTCTATAAGATCACGCTAAGCTCCTCCCACCCACAACCTAACTACTACAGAGGAAAGCGAGCGAAATTCGCGCGCGCCTACTAGCCACTACTTGGCAACTACGCATTTCCTCACCACGACATTTGGGTTTTGTTTAGTCGTTAGCATAATAAGCGTTTCCATGGCAACAGTTTCTTAATAACTGATTTCGGCTGAACTAAAGTAAACATTAAATAATCTATAAATTGGCAACTACGCATTTCCTCACTGCGGGATTTGGATTTTTGTTTAGTCCTTAGCATGACAAGAGTTTCCATGATAACAGTTTTTCCGTAACTGATTTCGGCTAAACTAAAGTGAACATTAAATGATCTATAACTTGGCAACCACGCATTTCCCCATCACGAAATTTGGGTTTTTGTTTAGTCCGTAACATAACAAGCGTGCCCATGGCAACAGTTTTTGCATAACTTATTTCAGTTAAATGAAATTAAACAAAAACCGCAATCATCTACAACTTGGCAACTACGCATTTCCTCACCATAAGATTAGGGTTTTTGTTTATTCATAGCCATCACAATTATTGTTATTATGAAAACAGTTTTTGCATAACAGATTTCGGCTAAACGAAAGTTGAGCCGCAGATTTTGATGAAATTAACATTTGGTAGCTGTTGAAAATCAAAACATGAAAGAGTGACAGCATAGAAGGAAGAAGTTTATTTATAAAAATCCCTTTGGAATCAACGATGATGTGTTATTTATCAAGCATTTTCGACTTTCCAAGGATTCAACGCGATTCTTCATAGATATTGTAACCATGGGCGTCGTTTGGGGGGGGGGGGGCAAGGGGGGGGGGGGGCAGTTGCCCCCCCTGGCTTTTACGACTTAATCAACAACGCGTAAGATATGCATTACGAACAACAATCTCCTAGAAATAATATTCAGGCTAATATAGTTGAAGAATATTATAGGTTGAATAGGTATATTTATTGCATTTCTGGGTTCCGCTTTCCCGAAGACTTTGTTAGTTTGTCCTTAAGCCTGTTACATCCCAAAAACATAAAAAATATTTTTTTCACTACCGATAAGAAAATGAAAGTGGTGGAAAAATTTGGAATTGACAATTTTGAAGCTGAATACCAAACTGGAATACGAAATAGCTTTCTGCACAAATGAGCGTCCCATTAATGATATAGCGTCCAAATATTGTGAATTTTATCCAGACATACAAAGTGGTTTAAAAAATATTTATGGTTCTTCCACCAACGACAGAGTTAATCGAAAGAATGTTTGGAACGCTAAGGCATGTTAAAACATGGCTGCGGTCTATTCGATCAGTGCGAAGTCATGGTAGGGGAAGCAAAAGGGATACTAGCGCAAGCTGCGGATAATTCGAGTATTTTTGGACGATATTTTGTAATTTTGGCGTATCAAATATACGTATACATTTTACTTTTTACTAAAAAAATAGGTAAAAACAATAAAATGAGCAACCGGAGTTGCTATGTTGCAAATTATACTAGCAAAAAGACTGTAAATTATATGAATGTTCCGTAGCAAAATCGAAATTAAATAAAAGAAATAAATGGACAGCTGTATAATAAGAATAACAAAAACCTTTACTTTTGTAATAATTAAGCAATAAATTATTTTTTTATGATATTCTTTAACATCCCTTAAATCCTAAGTGTTTAGCAAATGATTAGATTTCTGCCTTTAATTATTGTATATGGCTGACATGCAATCTTGTGACTTATTGATAGGAAACCCGTTTTATTCATTAATTTCTATAGTATTAGTTCTTTCGAACCAAAAATGAAGAAAATATAAATTACAATCGCAAATATGCCAATTAGTTTTGTTATTACGTTTAAATTCCACATTATTATATAATGCTAATATTTTTATTTTGACATTATTTAACCTATTCTTCAATGACAACTTATTAGGCTTAGGCAAGATCTCATACATTTTCTCGTAAATACTTGCCTATGTTTTATTATTAATTTTTATTGAATTTTTTAGCTGAAGTAATAAAAATATAATAATAATAATTTTTTCACTTGTTTTAAAATTAAAATTAACATATATATATTGTGATGGTTTTATTATTTTTTTTTTTTACTTTATTTTATATTATTAGTTTATTTTTTATAGTATATTTTTTTTTTATATATTTACTTTATTTAAATATTATTTAATTTATTTAAGATATTTTATTTTTTTAACTTACCTTAATTTTTCTTAGCCAGCTAGTCAGTCTTTAAAGCAAACAGATTCTCTCATCTCAAGGGCGGTTCTGTCAAAATCGTGTTCTATATGAGAAATATTTTTTCTTTATTTTTAAACTGATTATTAATTTTTTTTTTAATACCTTAATAAAAATGTACCTTTTTTTTTTACCTAATTTTACCGTACTATAATTTTTCTTGAAATAAATTTGTTTTTAATTTAAAAAAAATATCCATTTATTTTCAATTAAATCCAGCAAAATGTGTAAATAATGCATAAAAACTTTAAATAATAAATACCTTATATCTAGTTACTAACTAATATTAATAGTTGAAATTATTATTTTTTTTTTAAATTTACATAATTTCAACTAAAATTAAATTGGTCCAATTTACTTGTTTCCTATTATATACTAGTATACTTATTCTACTTAATATGGCAATTATACGACAAATTGTGCCATCTATTAGTTTGCTCACTAACCTCTTTTGCGACTAAAAAGTTCCCTATACTCTAAATTAAATTATGTTCAAAAATGTTCACTAGATGTAGTACCTTATTAAATCTTTGATAAACCACGAATTCTAGTTTCATTCCACGTTTTTTTAATGTTTATTGACAAAATGCAACTGCAATTATTACTCTCTTGCTGTCTGTATATGAATTTACGATATAATTGGTAAGTAACTGGTGCAATCTTTAGAAATATTGAACGTATCTATTTTACTGACAATTTATGTATAAAAGTTTATTTTAGGTTACCACTTATCTGTATTCCGGCATGTGATTTCTCCAGATCCACGCCAAGTATTTTCTAGCCTAATTTTTTATTAGACATATGTGAATTCCTTGAAGATTCCATTTAGTTCTTTCTTCCGATACACCAGGTAACTATTTCCTACCTTGTATTACAAATTACTACAACTAACCTCTTATTTTTTTTATATTTGTTTATAAACAAATTTATTTCAAAATGATTATCTTTGCTTTGAATATCTTTTTGTTGAATTTAACTTTAATTCTTTCAATTTTAATTTTTCTGTCATAAAAATTCAAAATGTCTGCCAGAAACATCAAAAACTGCTCAAAAACTGTTTATACCGCCTGACAACCGTCGTTTCTAAGGAAAGATAACATCTGCTCTCCTCGCTATAAATGCATATCGAATTTCATTATTTTGTGCCGTCATTTTCATTAAGGTAGTTATAGATATTCTTTCTTATTATTAGTTGTGCAACACATACCGGGTGTTCTATTCTCAATTAACATGTTATTCTAAATCAGGTAATTGTTTTGTCAAATTTTGTATACACATTTATTTTTCTTTAATCCCATGTGTTGTTTAACTTTTAATTGTCAAATTGATTCAACTTGTCTTATGTTATACAGGATTGTTCATTAATCCTAGATATTATTTGATGAACCTATTTGCTCTATACTGGGCTGGATTATTTTTCAATTTTACTAATCACAATAGATTAAAATAAATTATTAATATACAGGGTTATTCATTTGTACCGGATATTATTTTGTAAATTTGTTTATTTTTATTATTTGCTATATTAATTCAAATTAATGGTCACACGTGATTAACATAGTTTATAAACATACAGGGTTGTTCATTTGTACTTGATATTATTTGTACTAGTTAAATCGATTGAAATCGTGTATTAACATACAGGTATGTTCATTATTATTAATTATCATAACAATTATTTTCTCTTATTCAAGATTTTATTCTTCTGTGCTTCTTTATACCCTTATTTTGATTTTAATATATTGTATTTCGTTGTAATATATATATATCTTAATTACGAACTCTATTAAAAATTGTATTG